TGTCTAGTAAATAAGATGTAGGTGTAATGTTGTAATTACTAGGCAGTCACTAGACAAATTTATTGATATTACGAAATATTAGCTAGTGACTATCCAGTGACGAGTTAGAAATCTTATCTAGTTAATACTGTCTAGTGCTTAGATGGTAAATCAGATTGGTTAGATTCATTTCTGCTCGGGAAGTGATCACCTTTTTTAGTAATAAAATATTTTTTATATGTACATAAACATAAATATAACAATAAAATAATAAATTTTATTACCACTGGACAAAGACTCTGTATGTGTCAATAAGTTGCCTGACATATCTCGTATTGGAGATATGGACTTCTTTGTAATTTCTTTAATATTCATATTTTCATCCTCTATGTCTGTCTGATCCGTAGTATAAATATAATCTTTGTGTTTCAATTTTTCTATTTCTGTTAAAGCTTCTGCATAAGTACCTGATATAAATGCAAATATAATTCAGTTAAGCTTTTTGCACTGTTCATTTTTACATATACAGGGTGTTAGTTAAGTATGTTCCTATACTCAACAGAGCGATTCTTTGATTTATTTCAAGTAGAAAAGTCCATATAAACATATGTCCTAAACGGCTTAGTTTCCGAAATAAAAAAATTTTAACGTGTAGTAATAATCCGTTTATTTGAAAGAAATACAACTTGAACTAGTCAAAAACTAGTCAAAAACAGAAAAACAAAAACAGGCTTCAGTTCTTCTGACGAAATAAAACAATTAGATGAATTGTTGAAAATGTCCACCTTGCGTCATGATACATCCATCGAGCCTTCTTCTCAAAGATGAAGTCTATTTTTGATTTTGTGACTTTGACTTTGTCACTTTGTTTACGGTTGTGCGAATAGTAACTCACATGAAGCAAGGCATATTTATGCAGAAAGATATCTCAACGCAATTTATCGTTTTGTCAAACATTTGCGAACATTCACCTGTATTTCGGAAACTAAGTCGTTTAGGACACATGTTTATATGAACTTTTTTACTTGAAATAAATCAAAGAATCGCTGTATTGAATATAGGAACATATTTAACTAACACCCTGTATATATATGATATACCTTTTACATATATATATGTATATATTTATACGTATATTTATATACATGTATATATTTTAAATAATAAAATAGAAGTTACTTTATATAAGTAACTCATAAACGACTCGTTATTATTATTCGTTAGCAATTAAAGAAATTAATTAATACAAAATGACTAATTATTATAAAAAATAGAAAGGTAAATATAAAATCGTTATTGAAAATAAGTTTCAGTCATAACAAATAATACTATATTTGATAACTTTTTTTTAACAGCAATACATTACCTGTACTTTGCAATACTTTTATCGGATAATTAGGCCATTCATCTGGTGCACTTTTCCTAGCTTGTATTAATTTATGTAACGTGTTGCATCTTTTTTTTGTATACGGAGGTGGCATAAATTTTGTCATTAATTGCTGTGTTTCGGTATTACTGAATATCCATGAAGACGGCGCACAATCAATAGATTTTGTTTTATTATTATTGCTTGAGTTAATAAAATGTATAATATTTAAAAATTTCTTTTTGCATGGAGGCATGTTAAAAGCAAAGTTGAAATTCCAAAAACAACACACTTTAAAGAAATCCGTAATAATAAAAAAAGAATAATTCTAAATATGTTTTAAATAATTCTAAATATTCCGGTCAAATTGTGTTCCATATAATATTAGGAAACCAAAACAAACGGAACAAAACCCGCGGGAAATCTAGCAAAGTGTAGTTACTATTATTTATGGTGAGAAAGCTGCAATGATAATACAACGATATCGAACTATCATTAAAGCCTATTCTACAATGTGTTCTTTGTTTCTTGTTTCTTGCTTTTTATCTTTTGCTTTTTCCCTTTTTGTCACCGTTTTGTCAATAATTGTATTTCTTGTTACGTGTTTTATGTTTCTTCTAAATTTGTTAACTTTTAAACCTATTCTACAATGGGCTCTTTGTTTCCTGTTTCTTGCTGCTTGTCTCTTGCCTTCTTAACCAAAAAGGCAAGAGACAAACAGAATTAAATCTCAAGAAACAGGGAACAAAAAGCACATTGTAAAACAGCCATAAAAAATAGCAAAAAGCAAGAAACAGGAAACAAAAAACATATTGTAGAATAGGCTTAAAAGTTACAGAATCAAAATACTGGTCAATATTTATTAATTAATACTCGTGTAACAACGGCCTAAAGGAGCCTACAGACCAGAGCGGCGCAGCGGTGAGCCATGCATTACTAATGATGTCATGCAAAAGCATGGTACCGCTCGCCGCTCGCCGCATCTGGTCTGTAGGCTCCTTAAGGCGCTGAGCTAGGGATGGGAGATATCCGTATCAATACGCTGAAAATCGATTGCATCGATTCGAAATATCCTTTCTTGTTAAAAAAAAGCGATCGTGTACAAGGATATTGATTTAAATAACTCTTTAATTGCAAGAATTGATGTTCGGCAAAATAGGTTAAGTTAGTTACAAATGATTATTTAGCATATCGATACATGTATCGTTTATCCTTACCGTAATTGTGGGCCACTCCTGTAGCAATGCCTGTATGAGCACTTGAAACGGATGAACGCCGTCACTTTATAAATCACTTGCATACACCTTTGACGATATTTAATGAACTCTTGACGTGCAAAACCGAAGTCACTGAACGGCGAACGAATGGCGGAATGACACGATTCGTAAAGTTTCGGCAATTCTCGGTCGCACGATCCCAAAACTGTTCGAATTTTATTTTGATCGGTCATCCAAAGAACGCAGGAAATCATGGATCTCGCGATATATATGTACGATGAAAGTACCTCGGTCTCGCCAAATTTTCGATCGACTTATGTATGAACGGTCGCGTTCAGCAGAGAGCAGATTCAACCACGGTGGAAGGGATATAATATGGCGGACTACGTGCCGTTTCACGCACGATGCGCGTGATACATCATTTATCCTTGTTTAACATTCGGTGAATAACAAGGATAAGTAATGCAGCATGCGCATCATGCGTGAAACAGAACGGAGCCCTGGTGTGTACAGTTTACAAGCATCTCTCTCTGAATCTCCGACCTCTCTGTCGATAAAAACCAAGAAGACTAGAGACCAGAGGTGCGTTCCGTATCGCGCATGATGCGCATGCATCATTGTCCTTGTTTAACATTTGGTGAGCAACAAGGATAAACGACGCATTATGCGCATCATGCGAGAAACGAAAAGCACCCCAGGAGAGTCAACTCGGTGCCAATAGCGGTAGAGGGGATGAGGCAAAAAGTGGCGAATAACTTCCCCTATTCATGCGCTTCATTAGTCCTCTCTGTCGCTCTATATAATCGTCGCTCTGTCGCTCTTATAGGGTAAGGTTGCCGAAATCGCACCACTTTTCATATAATGGCTTATAACTCGGAAAGTAAGAAGGATATTCTCAATTTTTTTGCGGCGTAATAAACTGCAAGCTTTTCCCTTTCATATATAATTTTTTCAGATTTTTTTTCTATTATTATAATATTTTAAATGAAGATTTTTTACATACTTGTAAATAGTGCGATTTTGGAAATACGTTGCCTAAATCGCACCATAGGTTGTTGAAATCGCACTTCTATTACAATATACATTTATAATATATATTTTTACATAATAAAAAAAGAAATAAAATGTAAAAAATATAAGTAAAATATATGTAGAAATTATCTGTGAACCACACTCACCTGAAAGAAATGATTTCAAAGATCTTTGGTCCGCCAAACGTATATGCTTATTGTAGAGGTTATGGTTATGTCGCACCGACATGCATTGTGGTTATGTGTACGTCCCGTGTTGCCATATGCACGGTGCGATTTAGGCCACT